ATGAGTGTTTTGTTTGCACTTATGTCTGTGCACTATGTGCACGCAGCAGAGGTCAGAAGAGGGTATCCAATCCCCTGGAACTGGAGTTACCCTTTGTAAGCTACCATGTGGGTGTTGGGAATTGAATCTGGGTCCTTTGGAAGAGCAGCCAATGCTCTTAACCACTGAGCCATCTCTCCAGCTCTGATAGAGAGTATTTCAATAAGCTTAAAGAATTCCCTGATTTGTGTTGGGGAAATGGCTTAGTCTATAAGGTGCTTGCCAGTGCAAACATAAGGACCTGAGTTCAAGCTCCAGAACCCATGTATACAAAAGCCAGGCATATTGGTGGCACTTCTCATTTCAGTACTGGGGCGGTGGGGACAGGTAGATCCCTGAATGTCAACAGGGCCATGGAGAGTTTCAGGTTAATGAGAGATAAATCATGTTCAAATTGATGACAGAAGTCAAGCAATCCTCAAGCTAAAGCCAATGCCTGTGTTTCCAGGCCTCTCTCAGCCTTCTTTATAGGCTTCTCTACCAGGAATGGCAGCCCAGAGCACTGGCCACCATCGCAGGCTCCTCGTTCCTCTCCCTACAACCTCTCCTACTGCCTCATCAGCCCACTCCACCTCCCAAACACCTCTGGATCCTTCCTTTCCCATGTCTCCTCTCATCCTCTCTGGCTTCACATTGCTTCTCAGTGCTGCTTAGTGCAGAGCCTCCTATCATGGCCCCCACATCGTTTACACTAGGTACCTTCTTGTTCCTCATCCAAAACCCAATTGATGCAGAAAAGTGCTCAGGGCAAAGCCTCCCTGAAGACCCCCTTCTTCAAACACCAAGGTGGTTCGTGTGTGTGTGTGTGTGTGTGTGTGTTTGTGTGTGTGTATACATATGCTGTGATACACATGTAGAGGTCAAAGGGCAACTTGTGGGTTGGTTTTCTCCTTCTACCACATGGGTACTGAGATCAAATTCAGGTCATCAGTCTTAGTGGCAAGAGCATTTACCCACTGACACATCTTGCCAATCTTCCACCTAATATATTTATTTATCTTTCTTTATTTTATGTATATGGATGTTTTGCCTGCATGAATGGCTATGCACCACTGAGGCCAGAAGAGGGTGTTGGATCCCCTGGGACTGGAGTTAGAGATGGTTGTGGGCTATGATTTGGATGCTAGGAATCCATCCTGGATCCTTAGGAAGAGCACTCAGCACTCTCATCCGTCTCTCTAGGCCCTTACTTAGTTTTGAGATAGGAATCTTTCCCGTTGAACCTGGAGCTCATGGATTAGGTGGCACTGTATGGCCAGCAAGCCCTAGGCTTCCTCCTGTCTCTGTCTCCCAGTGCTTCAGGCACTGGGAGAATCTCCCAGAGATTCAGGCATGCATGTAGTGCTTGGCTTTTGTATGGGTGCTAAGATTTGAACTTAGGTCCTTGTACTTGCAAAATTTTCCTCTGTAGGTGACTAATATGGTCAGTTTCTTGTTCATATCTTTGGAGAAAACCTATATCTCTAAAATCAAAATAGTATATGCATTTTACAGTGTACAAAAAAGAGAAGAATTAACCCACAAGCTGACTTTATTGCTCTATTCTTTCTGTAATGAATGGCTGCTTTGACTGACTTCCCTAGGGGTTCTAGTATGACTCGTTGGCCTCTAAGTTCATCTATCCCTCAGTTGACCACAAATGGTCTCTTCCTGGACACTCCCTCTATCCCTTCCTTTTTTCACTTGGCAACGTACCATGGAATCAATCACTCCCGAATCAATTCACTGAACACTTCCTCATTTCTTACAACAGGCACTCACTGTTCCCCATATGCTGGGCCATGATTTATTTAGCCAGCCCTCTAGGATGGGCACTTAGGTTGTTTCCAGTCTTTCCCAACACAAACATTGCTGCAGTGAATCACTGTGGTGTGGTTTCACAGTTGGGCTAGGAATCTGGGAGACACTGGGTTGAAGGGTGCATGCATCTGTGATTTGTCAATCTTCCTTAATTTCCTCATTGAGTACATAGCAATCTGCATCTCTCTGTTCTTGGGACCAGACCTGTGTGAGGACACAGGGGTCTCAGAGGCATGAGGTAGTTATGTGTCTCATTCCCAAGGGCTGGTTCACTTTGAGAGGTTTTGTAGAACTAAAGGCAAATCGTGTGTGTGTGTGTGTGTGTGTGTGTGTGTGTGTGTGTGTGTGTGTGTATTTATGTTTTATGTTTACCACGTGTGTACCTGGTACCTTGCAGAGGGTATTGGATCAGATGGTTGTGAGCTGCCATGTGGGTGATGGGAACTCAGCTCAGGTCCTCTTCAATAGCAGTCTTAAGCCCTAAACCATCTGTCAATCTCCACTCCCCTCAGTTTGGGAGCTCCATTCTCCTTCGCAGGAACTCATAATTACTAGCTTCCCATTCCAAGCATCTGATCTTTCTCTCCCAAAAGTGCGTGTCTGATTTGTCTCTAGCCTGCCTAAGAGCTAGTGTGGCTCCAGGTTACAATCCTAAATCTTTAATAAACTGTGAGGATTCTAGCCCTCCCATCTCCTCCCCACAGTATCCATTTCGTCTTCTACTGCAAAGTTTCTAACTGTGGCTCCAGGTCCTCCTTAGGACTTCGATGTCTTTGCTGTGGCCACCCCTTTTCTAACTAGCTCAGGGCAACCCTTGGAAAGGTCTGGTGCCCTTGCCTCTGAGGCCGCGTCAGTAGCGACCTCATTGCATTCCACCAGGTTTCTCTGACCTTCATTTTCCTAGAACTCGGCGAAGATCAGACTTAGAATCCGTGCCCCTGGTGAAGCTTAGCTACTGCGTCTATCTAAGAGACCAGAGACCTGTGGGGTGTCCATGCCCTACGGCTGCCATCGCAGTACCGCCACCAGGAGGCGCCGTGCTCCCTCCGTGGCGGTGGGCAGTGCAGTGGGGACCCGGTTCTCCTGCCAGAGGCTGTCGTGAAAGCCCGGCAAAATCTATGGCATCAAACAACTGAGGTATTTCCCTAGGTCGTTGGCCACCTGCTATCAGGAGGAAAAGAAAAGGAAAGAAAGAAGTGGGGAGATGGGTTCTGTGTCTTTCTCTAGGACTGGGAGGAGAATGGGCTACCCAGCCAACACTAGACCTTAGGGTCCCTTGGGCCTTTGGCAGATGTCCTTCGAAGTCAGCGAATCTACCTTTAATCCAGCACTCCGAAGCATAGTAGATCACACAGACACAGATACTCCTACCCAACCACCTGCCTCAAGTGTGCTTGGGGTAAGGAGACATACAGGGCAGCTTTCTATCCTCCATTGAAAAGGATGTATTTTCTGGAAGCTGGGAAAGTAGGAGGAGCCTTCCAAGAACATGTTTTCATGGAGACACACATAGCTGCTTAATTTTTTTAAGCTTTATTTTTAGTTTTAATTCTGTGTGTATATGGGTATGTGTACATGAGTGCAAGTGCCCAACGAGGACAAAGGTGTCAGATCCCCTGGAGCTGGAGCTGCAGATAGCTGTGAGCCACTTACCCATGATGCTGGGATCAAACTCAGGACCTCGGCAAAAGCAGCATGAGCCATCTCTCCAGCTGCCCTTTACCACTCCTTTCTTGAGAAAGCATCTCATGTATCCTAGGCTGACTTCAAGCTTGCTATGAAGCCAAGATGACCTTGAACTTGTGATTCTCTTTTATCCGCCTCCTGAGTGCTGGCGTGACAGGTGTATGCCACTATCATGCCTGTTTATGTGGCACTGGGATTGAATATAGGTCTTTGTACCTGCTGGACAGCACTCTACCAATTGAGCTACATTCCAACCCCGAAGCCCCCCACACACACACACTTAAAAAAAACAACAATAACCAAACAAACAAAAAACCCACTGGGTCTCACAGGACCAGGCTGACCTTGGTCTCAGCCTCCATGTGCTGAGATTACAATGACAGTCATGACCAGCCCCAGAGGGACAGTACTTGTAGACTGTCCATTACTGAGAAGTTTCTCTTTGGAATGGGTCTGGAATGCAGTGGGTGCAGAACTGAGAAAACTGCTTCCAGGCACAGGGGTCATCATTCCCAGCTCAGAGGCAAGCAAAGGTGGTCTGAGAGAAAGGCATGGGGTTCTGGTGTTTAAAGTCACTCCCAGAAGAGGAGCTTAGGAGCTTCTCCATCCACAGCCTGCAGGGACCTTACAGGGGTGGGCCCGCAACCCAGCTAGTAGGACCTGCTCTGTTTTCTACCTGGTTGCGAGCTGTAGGGGCTGGATTAGTTCTTAATATTTCTCTCCTTTCTTTTGTTTGTTTTGGCTGTCCTGGAACACACTCTATAGATTAGCCTGGCCTCGAACTCACAGAAATCTATTTGCCTCTGCCTCCTGAGTGTGCCACCAACACCAGGCCTTTAAAATTTTTCTTAAGCAACCAAGGTCACACTGTGCCCACCAGCCAGGTTGATGTTTTGTTGCAGGGGGACTGGTTGGTGCTACAACATACTTAAAGCTTCCTTCTTCACTGTTTCTAACTACAGATCACACACAAAGCTATTTTACACTGCTGTGCAGCCATCCCCTCTGACAATCTCTAGAACTTTTATTTTGTAAAACTGGAACTGTGTCCATCAAACACTCAGTCCTCATATCCCATCTGAAATGCCTGGTGATGTCATTGGCATGGGTCAGAGCTCAGAGGGTACCCACAAAAGTTTTCAGGTTCATGTGTCTTAAAACAAAGAATTGTACCAGGGACACGTGGTAATTGAAACAGAGACTGTTTATTAAGGGAGAAACAAAGATAGGCAGGTAAGGTGGCTCACATCACATCACATCACATCACATCACATCACATCACATCAAGCCTGATGACCAAACCAAACCAAATTTCTATTAGCTTCCAGCAGTGGCACACACCACTGCTGTATTTTGGAGGCAGAAGTAGGTAGATCTCTATACTTTCCGCCCAGCTGGCTCTACGTAATGAGTTCCAGCCTAGCCAAGGCTGCATAGGAATACCCTGTCTCAAATAAATAATAAATAAATAAATAGTGCTTGCTTCAGTGCCACATATACTAAAGTTGGAACAATACAGAGGCTGGCATGATCCTTGAGCAAGAATGGCATACAAAGTCATGAAACATTCCTTATTAAGATAAATAAAATTTCAAAAACATTTATTTTAAAAGAAAAAAAAACATTTATGAGAATGGTTATGAGTTACTGAGCTGGGTAAATGCTTGTGTTCACAAGAACTGGGCTACAAGGCTCATGACCTGCTCAGTAGCTTCTCTCCCATGTTTGCACATGGCAGGCTTTTTCTGAGCATGCTCTGTCTGTTTTCTGTAGCCCAGGTAGAGAGGGTATTCCAGTCCTGTTTTGTCAGCTGGCTTCTTGCACATTCTAGTGCTACTGGCCCACCCAGTCCCTATACTCCTGCTGTTCTGTTTCCAGAACCACCTGTGAGCACCCTCAGTGGCCGCTATGCCTGAGCCTTTTGTGACTGGCTTCCTTCATATACTGTGGTTTCTATAAGGTTATCTCTGTCATAACACATGTCAGAAGTTTTTTTTTCCTTTTTAAGAATGGATAATAGCCCATCATAATCCACATTTGTATATCATTGTCAGTGGGCATGTGGGGTTACTGCTACTCTGGATACTCTGAGTGCCCCAGGGTTCTCTAGAGCAGGGCTTCTCAACCTTCCTAATGCTGTGACCCTTTAATACAGTTCCTCACGCTGGGGTGACCCAAGCCATCATTTTGCCACTGTTATGAATAATAATGTATTTTCTGGTGGTCTTAGGCAACCCCTCTGAAAGGGTTGTTCAACCCCCAAAGAGGTCACAACCTGCAGGTTGAGAACCACTGCTCTACAGGAACAGAACCAATAAATGAGCATATTAGTGTTGCACAGTGGTGCACATCACTCAACAGTGGCAGTGTTTACACTGGAGAGGCTGAGAACGAGTAGCTGCTCACTTTTCCAGACTGGATGTTTAACTGTCCCAATCTAGCACTGAAGTCCTGGTGGACTCCTGGGGAGCCATTGGTTCCAGTCCACTTTTGGGAGTCAAAAAAAAAAAAAAAAAAAAAAAAAAAAAAAAAAAAGAAAAGAAAAGAAAAAGAAAGAAAGAAAGAACGCTGAATGTCAATGAAGGATGGCAGCAACAGTGTAGATGACCCTCCATAAGGGTAGATGACTTTCCATGAGGGTAGATGCACTTGCCAGCATAAAGCAGAAAACCAAGCAGGCAAAACCTAAAAGCATTTCCTTCCAGATTCCTTATACTTGGGCTCTCTGGCAGAAGGTGCCACCTATCTATTCAGGGTGGGTTTTCAAAGTGCTTGGATTAAAGGTATATGCTACCACTGTATAGATGTTTGACATGTATGTATGTATGTCTGTGTACCACATGCATACAGTGCTTACAGAGGCCAGAAAAAGGTTTAACATCCATTGGGACAGGAGTTACAGAAGGCTAAGAATTTCCATGTGGGTTCTGGGAATCAGTCCTGGGTCCTTTGCAAGAGCAGGAAGTGCTCTTGATCTCTTACCCATCTCTCCAGCCCAGCATTCTGTGTTTTGCAAAGTTACACACTAAAGATCTAGAGACCTTATCTTGTCCAGTTCTTTCCCTTCTGCATCTCCAGAAAATGCAAACCCAGCAGAAGCCATGGCAGAGATTTGGGGGAGCTCAAGTCTGCAGAGAGACTGACATATGCCTGGAAATCAAGCCAAGCCTGGTGGGTACTCTGCCATCTTGTGTGTACTGGAATAAGATCTGGGCAACCTTCCTCAGATAGAGCAGAAGAATCCTGAGGTTTAGGACATTGGAAAAGTGGGTCTTGTACCCTGTACACAACACTTGTGTTGGGCTTCATCCCTAAGCACCCTTCATTCCAGCAGTCACTGATCCCAAAAGCCTAGGAAACATAAGCCAGAACCCGAGGTCACAGCTTCTTGGTGTGGGAACTTCATTTTGAAATGAGTATTAGGGTGACAGAGGCCAGTATAGAGTCCAACTTCTAGTCTATAATTTCCAGCTCTTCCACTGGTAGAGGAAGGCTGGAAGCCTGCTTCTGCCCAGACTCCTTCTCATGATCAGAGGGTCTCCTGAGTTTTGCTGTCTCTAACTTGGAAATCCAGCATTCACCAGAGGTCTCCAGGGCTTCCACAGCTGAACTTGGAGCCACTTCAGTTCATCCCATCCTCCAAAGACCCCAACAACATCTCCAGGCTGAGGCTTTCCCAACTTGCATGCTACTAGCCTGGTCCCTAAGGCCAGGCCCTCACATTTTCTACACAGCGTTTGCTAAGCTGCCCAGGGAGGGTGCATTCATGCCCTGCAGAAAGTACAGTTTTGCAGGCTGAGCTGGTAGTGGACACCCACACCCTATCTCTGGAGGGCATTTGTGGGGTACCCTCCCTTCGAACTTTCTAAAAAGGCCCCCGCCCTTCTCTTTCTTGCCCTGTGGACGGGGGGTGGATGGCAACACCAGAGCTGGCTGCTGGGCTTCCTCTTTGGCCAGCTCACTGGGCAGTGACAGAGCCTTGGACTTTCAGCTGCTAGAAGGGTCACCAGGGGCCACTCAACTGCTCTACCTCCACTGCCCGATGTCTCAGCCTGTACCTGCAGCAACCCACGGATGCTGGGAGAGGGCTTATCTGCACAGGGGTTCTGGGGGCTGGAGCAGACCCTTATCTTTCAGCCAGGGGCCTGCCCTACAGTTGGGGCTTTGTAATCTGACATTGTGATTTTTCATCCTTGTTTTCTCTCCACAGAGGGAAGATTTGCTGAGTCATGCTGGGGAGGTGGTTGCAGAGGGTTGGGGGGTCTAGGCAGCTGGAGGGCTCTGATAAGTCTGAGCCTGAGCTAAGGGGCACTGGGGAGCCAGCGGGAGGAAGCCCAGAGCTGACAGTTTCCAGCTAAGATTGACGTCTTCTGTAGAGCTGCCCTGAGGAGGCTGAGCCCAGAATCCTAAACCTTCCCTTCTGAGGCATTTAGGGCAGGGCCTGGGCCTCAGGGGGCCACAGATGCCAACTAAGCCTCTGTGCATCCTGTGATTGTTTGGACAGTGACAGTGGCCATGGTGGGATACACTAGGTCACTTTTGGTGTTACATTGACTGCAGGAGGCCCTGGCAGGGTAGTGCTGGGCCAGGCCTCTCAGCGGGCGGGAACAGCTGGGGCAGACAGAAGGAGCCTCTGCACCTGTCCTCCAGTGAAGGCCATCCTCATTTTAACAGATCAAATTCCTTCCTGCTACCTCCAGAAACACTTCCCTGACTCTAGGGGCTGGGCTTAACAATTCCCTTGGTCTCTCAGAGCCCCCTGAATCTTTCTGCCCCAGGTATTGCCTCAAAAAGAGCAACGAAGGGAGAAAACTGGGTCTTAGAGTCGCTACTCCAACCCTTAGGGAAATTATTCCCTAAAAGTTTGAGACTGCCTGATGCCAGCAAATCCTCAAACGTGACAGCAGGCTCCAAACCCCCCTGTCTGCAGCAGAGTATAGCTGGTGGCTAAGAAAGGCTCTCCTTGCCTGCCTCCCACCCACCTCTACTCCCTGTGCACTTTCTGCAGAGTGGTCTGCCCTGGCTTCTAGTGCCTGGGACTGGCAGTTGAGTGGGCCACATACAGATTTGGGGGTTGTGTTGGGCCTAGGGAAAGGGCAGACAGAATGGCCCAGTGGGGCAGCACCGGAGGCTTCCCTAGGTCATGCTCTACCTACTTTATTTCTGATTCCCTCAAGGCCAGGGTGCAACCACTGCCCTGAGGAAGGGGGTGACTGATGCCCCTGAGTCTGTGGCCACATCCCCTGCTGCTCCCAAAAGGGACTTTGGGGACAGGAAGAGCTGCCCACAGTGGTCGCTTTGGTCCCTTCCTGCTGCCCAACTGAGCTCAGAGATAAGTCCTTGTGTGGCCCAGAGAGGCCAGGGGCCCAGGCCTTCCCCAGAAATCATGTCAGAACCCCCCACACGGAGGAAGGGGTCTGAGGGCCATGATAACCCCTCTATTTTTAAGAGATCCGGGAGGAAGTTCTAAGTCACCCTTGGCAGAAATAGCTCTGAGCTTCTGCCTGGCGTCTGTGGCTACAGCTGGTGGCAGGGTTGGGTGAGGAGCGTGTCACAGTTGGAATCATCGCACAATGGCAGGTTGCCACCTATGCCCCAGCCTGGCCTGGAAGGTTGAGCCTGTGTCCCCAAACCAGAGTTATTCCTACAGATAATGCTGACAACCACGTGTGCCGTGCCCTACTGCCTCATGGGAGGAGCAGAAATCATGACACAAATGGCAGAAGGGAGGGTGCTTCTGAGGAAATATGGAGTCTGAGCTGTTGTAGGGTGCTTAGGAGAGAGCAATATGATGGGGGAGAGGAAACAGGAAGAGCTGAGGCCCAGCTTCAGGGGCATTGGCAAAAGCTGGCCATGGCTTATTGTCTTCGACCCCACAAGTGATTCAGCCTCTCTGGCCCAAGTTTGGGGAATGAGAGTAATAACAGCGTCCTTCAGAACTGTTAAATACATCTCTTGAGCCATTTCTGATGCTGTGTGTGTCTTCCCAAGGAAAATTTGATATCAGTGATGCCAGGCAGGAGTTGAGCAGCAGAAACATATCAAATGTCACTTTTCTATTGCCCCACAGCATGGCTTCTTCCCCACCATGGCAAACTCCACCCTTCATTCTCTTGTTCAAGAAATGACAGAAGGGTTGGGGCACGGTGATACTCACCCACCATCTCAGGCAGGCTGGAGCAGGAAGATCACAAGTTTGAAGCCAACCTGAATGACATAGCAAGACCATGCTTTCAAACAAAACAAGCCACACACACACACACACACACACACACACACACACGATGACGAAGGTCAATCTATGGGTTGTTGGGAAGCCAGGTGGAAGGTTCAGAATTCTAGAGATGGTGGCAAAGGTGAGAAAACTTCTGACCAAGCCACCCAGTCGTTCTAGCAGTGAGCATGCCACATCCACATCCAGGGCTATCCTGCCACATCCAGGGCTTTTGGTGAGGCCTCCTCAGACCGTCACCCCTTAACATGGTGATTCCCTGGCCTTCACCTCACTCTGCACCTCTTTTACCAGCTCTATTTGTTCTGTGCCAGCTGGAAGAAGCTGAGCTTGTTGTCTGGCACCTT